GATAACTCCATAATCAACCATGTAAATCAATCAAACATCATCAAGTACGTAGGGTTCGACATCCCCGGAACTAGAAATAAAAACTAGCCTAACATAATAAATAAAAATAAAAGAAAGAGAAAGAGAATAGAATTATCCTCTTTCGTGTGCGGGTGCGGTCTCCCTCCGCGATTGATCGGACTACTCGTCTTTCTTCTCTCTGTTCGCGAATCCTTTTCTTTCCTCTGCTCTTACGGCTGCGGCTTTTCTCTCGTTCTCTCTCTGGCTGCGTGAATGATCGGGCTTGAATAATGTTCTCCCCGCCGAAATATATCGGAATTTGAGGCTATCTGTTTTGGAAAATAAGTCCTCCTCCAATTAGTATAGCGCACGCGTGGAGTCTCCGATTGAAAATTGCTAGCCAATTAATTCCACTCCCAATTAATTAATTCCAAGTGCTAAGCTAATTTTAATTAGTTCACATGGCGTATGGACTTTTGCTTCAAATCCAATACATATGCACAATTAATTTCATAATCTTGGGCCCATGCCTATATTGGGCCGAAAATGGACTGCCATGGAACAACCCCGTATTGTCCGCTTCAAATCTTCCTTCGACATCTCGTCGCCCATAAAAATACTCCAATATCCTAAAATTAAATTATAAAAATATCATAGTATTTGAATCAATCTAATAAATAAATAAGTCGAGAAATATATAAGTGCGATAAATTTTAGCATATAAAAATACACTAGTAAATATATAAAAACACGCACTTTTTTCGACCAATCAACTGCTCTAAAAATTTGTCGACTTGGACTCACGTGGTCTCGGTTAGCGTCCTTCGGGTCTATCTCGAGCTAGGAACTTAATCCACGAACGCTCCAATCTCACAAACCGACGCAGAACTCCTGGGAACCTGAAAACACCACCATCGAACACACACAAAAGCAAGAGAAAATAGAAGAAATAACAACGAAAATGCTAAAGACAACGAAAAATACTAAAAACTCGAGAATGACTAAAAAGGACCGGAAAATCCTAACAAAAGACCTAAAACGGGGGAAAACAACACACAAAATAGCAACGAAAATAGCAACAAAAACGGGACAAACAAAATGCCCCTGCTCGAATTGAGATTCCAAAAGAAATGGCAAATGACGATATGCCAAATGAGTTAAAGGCACGCTTGAAACGAGGAAGGCCAGTGGGGTCTAAAGATAAGAATCCTCGAAAGAAAAGAGAAATTCAAGATTCGAATTTGAAAAACAATCAAGATGATGGAAAATTTCGGAACGAAATGAAAATATTGAAATCTCCATCAATTATGTAAATAATGGGAAACTTTGGAAGCGTGATGAGATCATTGATGATGCATTCGCATATATGGTATCACAAGAAATTGATAAAGAAGTTGAGGATCCTGAACCAAAGTCTATGATTGAATGTCAGAAAAGACATGACTGGGACAAGTGGAAAGGTGTTATTCAAGCCGAGTTAAATTCGCTTAATAAACGAAAGGTGTTTGGACCTATTACTATTATACCTAAAGACATAAAACCTATTGGGTACAGATGGGTTTTTGTCAGAAAAAGAAATGAGAAAAATGAGATCACAAGATATAAAGCTCGCCTTGTAGCACAGGGATTCTCCCAGAGGCCTGGGATCGATTATGATGAGACATATTCCCCTGTTATGGATGCGATTACTTTCAGATACTTGATTAGTTCATCCATGAAAATCTTGAGATGCGTCTTATGGATGTTGTGACTGCTTACTTATATGGATCACTAGACGCTGACATTTATATGAAAATTCCAGAAGGAATTAAAATACCCGAGGCGCTAAAGTCCAAACCTAAAGAGCTATGTGCGATAAAACTGCAAAGATCATTTTGGCAATTTGACCGCGCGTCGCAACGCGACAAAATTAAAATTTATATTTTCCTCGACTAACCTCTACTAACTAGTAGTAGTGGCGAGTAAGGGTCGATCCCACAGGGAGTGTGAATCGAATCGTGAATTTTCTTGTATTAATTGAAATATAAAAGCAATAAAAGAAGGGGGGGTTTTGATTTTAAGAACTAAATTAACTAAAACAAATAAAATCTAAACTAGAAAATAAAAATAAAATAGACTGAATAAAGAGAAATTTCTAGTTCACGGTTCCGTCTACACCCTCGACTGATTCGTCTAATCAACTTTGGTATGAAATCTCGCTATCTTATGAAATTACTAGCCCTAGGCAACGACACGGTCTATTACCCGAATTTTTGCTTAAGTTTAATTTAACCGTGAGACGCTCAACGATTAAACCTGACTTCTTGTACAGTCTAGAAGACGCTTCTTAGATTTAATACAATCAGCCGCTTTACGTATTAGAAAAATAGGCTAGACTACGTAGTGACGCATTCGTTCACTTAAATAGGCCGTGTTATCCCCGGTAGTTACCATCTTCCGGATACCACTTGCGAATTAAACACATCAACAATTACGGATTGAAGGCCTAATTCAGGTGTAGATATGAAAAGCCGAATCTAGGTGATCAATCTAAATAAGACTCAACACATCATGGTTAATTATTCAAAATAACACAAACAATTCCAAAAAGATAACTCAATAATCAACCATAAATTAATCAAACATCATCAAGTCGTAGGGTTCAACTTCCCCGGAACTAGAATAAAAACTAGCCTAACATCATAAATAAAAATAAAAAGATAAAAGAGAGAGATTAATTATCTCCCTCGTGTACGGGTGCGGCCTCCCTCCGCTTTTGATCGGCTTCTTCGCGTACGTGCGTCTCCTTTCTCTCGTGTTGGCGGCTCTGTCTTTTCTTCCTCTGTTCTCTTTTAATTCCTCTTCATCTTTTCCGTAAATAAAAATATGTTGGCTAAATATGAGTCCTCTCTCCCGTGTCCTAGTGGCTGCCAAAAATAATGCTCTCACAAGCCAAATTATTTCCTCTCGTGAGTTTTCACTCCCAGGCCCAACAATTAGATGTGTACAAGCCTTTAGTTATTTTTTTCCTCAAATCAAAGTCCTTAATTAATCTTTCCTAGCTTGATAAGCTCCACACAAAATGGGCCTCAATTAAGGTTTATCCATGGCCCAAATAATACTCCTCTCTAATTAATGTTTAATCCAAAAGTTCACCCAGCACCTTGCAACTCTCCAAAATCAATGATCCTCCACATAAATTCAGCAATTATGGCCCAATAGTTTATCGACTTTGATTCGCCATCCACAAAAATACGCCAATATACTGAAATTAAATCATAAAAATATCATAGTACTTAAATCCATCCAAATAATAAATAGGTCGAAAAACATATAAGTGCGGTAAAATCAAACATATAAAAATACGCTAATAAATATATAAAACACACACTTTTTCCGACCAATTAAATCTCCCCAAACTTAAACCGTTGCTTGTCCTCAAGCAACTTATAACTATATGCACAAAGATAAACATGAAAAACAAGTACGCGGAACTTTACTCAGGACCTCACAACTCTCACATAAGTGCATAGTTCAAACAACTCAAATTAACTTATTCGGACTCAAGACGAATTTATTCTAAGAACTCAAACACTTCAAGTATCAATCCAAGTGACCACCATAGTTTGTCAATCTCTTTAACGAATGCACCGATCAATGCAAC